ACGTTCAATCAACAGTTCATTAAAGCATGCAGTTGCCTTAAACCGCAATAATCAAATTGCGTAACTGTACTTCCCAGCGCGTCCACAGCAACCTGTTAGGTGGAAATTGCAGGGTTGCATTTGGCCAGCTGCGGCAATATTGGCTGGTTGCCATGGACATGGACATTGTCTGGGCCAGTGCATAAATATCGAGATCCTGCGCACAAAAGGTAAATATAATTTGATTACGTGTGTGGGCAGCTGCTATAATTGCAATTGGGTCTATTTGATGGACAACGCTGCGCATGCTGCACCACAACGTCACAAACGCACTGCGAGGCGACGTTTAAATGAAAACTGTGTGGCGTTTGACTTTTGCTTGGCTTGTCACTGTTCAAGCACCGGAAAATGGGTGAAGGTCAGCGGCGTTAACAGTGTGGCCCTGTCCCCCAAATGCACTGGCAACAGCCTCCTGCTCATCCTCGGTCTCCTTCTCGCCAGTCAGCCAGTCGCTCAGTAATGCTAGAAGGCCATTAACTAAATACAGTCGCATCAGGTCGGGCTCGGGCTCTGGCTCTGGCTCTGGCTCTGGCCACAATATCAACTGCAATCGCAAGCTCTATATACAGATGTATAAATATGCAGCATACAAACAGGCGCACATTCGTCCATATGTACTTATACATATATATATATATGTGTATGTATGTGTGCGTATGTGTGTGTGTGTGTGTACACACACATTGTAGCACGCATGTATGTAATACAACAAAACAACCCCCACCCCTAAAACTGGTCATATTTACTCAAACTCAAATGTTTTCATAATTTTACAAACACATACATATATATGTACATACATAAATCTTCAACTGGCGCCACTTCACTCCTTGGCTGCCCCATAAAACCCAAAGACCCAGAGTCTGCTGGCAACATCAATGCCTTGCTTGTTGTTGTTTGCTCTCTATCCATTCCAACCCCTCCAATTACTCACACATTCAACGAGCACTCATTTAAACGAAGCACCCAATGCTCACAGCATAACGGTAAAGTTAACTCTCGCTGAAGCTGTAGTCGTAGCTTTGGCTATAGCTATAGCTATAGCTGTAGTTGTAGCTGTGGCGCTCGGTTTGGAGGCCGCATTCGTTAAATGTTGAAAGTTCGTGTTGCCTTTGTTCGTGCGTTTGAGCTTCGGCAGCGTTTATCCTTTCTGGCTCCATATCTATATCCGAATGCTACTGATGCTGCGGCACAGTGGGGCAGATATGTATAATTTTCGAAAATCATTTTGCTTGGCAAAGTATTTACTATTTGCGTTGACCCAATTTATATAATATTTATATTGTGTTGATGTATAGTACTTGGAAAACATGTATAACAAAAATAAAATAAATAAATA